ATAATTACGCCTTAAACTAAAAAATTATCTTTAAAATGTGTTGTTGTTTTTCGCGGGCGGCTTCTGCGAATGGTCCTGATATAATTCAGATAAAAAAACTGCCGATTAAGCGTTTGCATTTAGCGGTGTTTTTTGTATGTGATACTTCGAAGTTTAAATCGGATTTTATAATAACAAGCTTCTTTCAGTTTGCTCAACCTCGTCACCAGTGGAAAATATAAAATTATTGTACAACAATTAATTTGATTTTAACCAAGTAAGTAAATATCTTATATACTAATATCAATCAACAACAAGACCTGTTTTTTATAGCAAAGGATTGAAAACACTGAGAAAATTACAAGACCTGAAGCCTCATAGAAAGTGAAATTTCCAATATTTTGACAGCGTTTTTTGTATGTTATGTTGTTAATTCGAAGTTTGAATCGGATTTTATAATAATTAAGCTCTTTCAGTCTTGTTTGAGACTCGTCAACAACAATAAAATTATTGCACAACAATTATCATTTTAACCAAGTAAGTGAATATCGATATCGATAGAATTATGGAATATTTTAGATATGGATTTGAAATCAATCAACAAGGCCTGTCTTTTTATAACAAAGGATCAAAAACACTGAGAAAATTATAAGACCTGGTATAAAGTGAAAGTTCCCAATATTTTCTACGATAGAGACCTCAAAATAATTGCAAATCTTTACTGGAACCAATAAACTATACAAATTAAGGTAGATCATAAAACTATTGTACAGAAATTATTATTTTAACCTAGTAAGTAAATATCTTATATACTTAGGTAATCGATACAATTGATGTGGCATATTTTTAGCTATGGATTTGAAATACTCATCGAATTTGACGATAACGCAGTGTTTCTCCCAAGACGTACCACCAAAATGATTGGATCATATTAAGCAGTTTATTGATGAAAAATATTCGCTTTTTGAAATCGTTGTCTTAAAAAATGTATGTTTTTAATAAAAAAACGAGGCCTCTTTCCCATCAAACGTTGGTTCCAACCAAGGATAATACACACTACTACTACAGGATAGCCTATCCTCATAAGGCCTGTGTGGAACAAATCCACTCTCTCCCCAACGTTAAATCACCAGTTGTGACGTAAGCAGCATGTTATTTCTCGCCTTGACGTAGGTTGTTTAAACAGCTGATGACTTAGTTATGGCGTCGTAAATGGTAGCACACGAGGTCAATGAGCAATACTGTAGGTGTGTATCATCCTTAAGTTCGAACACCCTCTACCAGGTACAACATGAAGCTAGCTGCTGGACCCTCATAGTTACGTCACCACCACAGCATCCTGTTATAAGACACATCAAACTTGACACATGTGCTCTAAATGGCGCCACGGACGTGACCCAGGTCGCTATGACGTCATCACAGAACCCGAACCATGAATCGAACTTTGCACTATGTACTCTAAATGGCGCCACGGACCCGCACTGACGTAACCCACGTGACCCAGGTCGCTATGACGTCATCACAGAACCATGAAACGAACTTCGCACTATGTACTCTAAATGGCGCCACGAACGTGACCCAGGTCGCTATGACGTCATCACAGAACCTGAACCCTGAATCAAACTTTGCACTATGTACTCTAAATGACTCCACGGACGTGACCCAGGTCGCTATGACGTCATCAGAACCCGAACCATGAATCAAACTTTGCACTATGTACTCTAAATGACTCCACGGACGTGACCCAGGGCGCTATGACGTCATCACACAACCCGGAACGACTCAAAACTCCCGCTATGACGTCATGACGTTTGACAGATGACGTTTGACAGGTGACGTTTGACAGATGACGTTTGACAGGTGACGGTTGACAATATGGCGGGAAAACATTTCCCCCCACCCCTTTTTCTGGTACCCATATTAAAATCCGGGGGCCCCTTTTTGGGGGGCGGAGCCCTGCGGGCCCCCTTTTGGGGGGCGCAGCCCTGCGGGCCCCCTTTTTGGGGGGCAGAGCCCCACGGGTCCCAACTACAGCATCCTGTATTACGAACTTCACACTATGTACGCTAGATGGCGCCATGACGTTTGACAAGATGGCGCCGACGATGCATCCACCTTCGTGTCAACGGCGGCGCATCCACCACGTGTCAAGAATGAAAGATTGAGGTTATGGTCGGATTTTTGTAGTCATACCCCTGTTGCTGTACTACTATCTAGGTCGAGTGGTCGACCAATAGAACGGCATTACGGAGGGTCACAACCACCCATATTGTCAATTAAGTGGGCGAATAAAAATAATATATAAGGGGACGGCCGTTAAAGATAAAAATTAATCTTAATTCAATTGTCGAGACTAGCCTCAACAAATTAGTAGTACCTTTTCAGAAGTGGCGAATTGCCTCAGTATAAAAAGCCTCGGAAAAGGCAAAATTTAAGTGAATATCTCGAAGAAGAAAATAGTAAATATTTACTTTGTTATGTGCGTGATCTAGCTGAATTTCGAGTAATTAAATAAGTATTTTATCGAATGACAATTTAAATGTAAGTACTTTAGTGTTTATTATTGTTTTTCTGACTTTTAACAATGATTCGGAATGATAAGAAGTGAATTGACATTGACTTTTAATGCATAAAAACTTGAGTGATTTGACTGTAAAAACTTTATTGGATAACTTTAATTGCCTTCGAGTATAATGACATTTTAATTTAATTTTGCAAAGAATTAACAAAGGAAAATTATAATGCTCTTAACAATATACGATTTTGAATAGGAATTATTAATTAAATAATTGTGTTTATTGGCTAGGAATCCGAAAACAGTAATTCTTCTGAATTAAATAAACTATTAAATGAAATGGGAAGTTTCGAAAAGAAACTTGTTCATGAAATGAGATTCTTGACGTTAATCATTAAAAGTAATGGAAAGGTTAGTTTAAAAACTGTTGTTCTTCATGAAATAAAATTGCTGACGTTAATCATTAGAAATATTGGAAAGTTTTATTTGAAAATTGTGGTTCATGAAGAAACATTAATAACCTTAAGTGCTGAAATTTTGAATCAGGGTTTTTTTTTTCATGTAGAAATTATTGTAAGATTTTTATAAAAATATAGTTAGTTATACCTATATACTTAATCCAGTGAGTCGGATTATGACTTAAATAATTATTTTGCATCAGCAGTCAGTAAAGGACTTAGGAATTTTTAGGAATTTATAGATATAGGCGAAGGGTAGTTTTTAATAGAACTGTGAATCGGAAGTGTTGTAATGTATAAACTTATAAGTTATTAAGAATAGTAGAAGTAGGGCGTTGTTTTTTTTTTTGTATATGGATATTTACTGGTCCGTGGTAATGAAATTTGAACGGATGTGAAATAATTCGATTTGGGGACAAAAAATAGAAGTGGCTGTCAGAATAGAAGGATAATTTAGTAAACCTCAATAGTTTGTTTCTCACTTTTGCGAATAGACCCCCTCCACAATTTTATAGGTAGCGCTCAACGAAATAAACACCATCAATATACCGCTCGCCATTTACCATCTAACTAATTAAAGAGAGTACTTGAGTGCGTTTTTCCACAGTATCTACCTATTTAAAACTAGATACTTGTAGGATCAAGTAGCAATTAGTTCTTAGCGGTTTTAGAGGTTTTCAATTAAACTTGTCTTCTTTTTCATTATTTATGGAAAACTAAAAAAGTGATACTTCTACTTTGAGCTAATAAATTTCTGAGCGTTTCTGTACAGCATCGCATCTTGAATATAATTAATTAATAAACGGTGTAAGACACTTGTTTTGGCACAGGTAGTAACAGCCAATTAAAAGGTGCGTTAAAGTGTCATGTCGGAAAATTTATGATCTGAGTAACGTCCGTATATTAAGAGGAAAATATGACCGGCTTAAAGTTTCTTGGAAATGTATGTATAGGCGGTAGTCAGTTCACTGAATTATTATAAAGTGTAGTGGGTATTAATTTGCGAATAGAATAATCCTATTTGAAAGTTGTAGTATGCTATAGAATAAAAATTAGAAACCATTTTAGGTAAATGCAGACAATAATTGAAAAGAGATCTTCGATAGGTACCATTCGGTTGAGCTAGCGGAGTTGTCACACTTTTTTAAGCAATTTCAGCCTGTAGTTTAGATTCGTAAAGACCGTAAAGTTTTACAGTACATAAGATGACATCTTTTATTGAGTAGGAGTAGATTAATTTTTTTCTATAAGTATTAAATAATATGCGTAATATACATCTATTTTCTATTGATCAATGTGCATGATTACTCATACAGTGAGTTTTTTTTCATTACTCAATTGTTTTCAACCAATTAAAATATCTTGGTCTCATTACTCCACTATTTAAGAGCCAATCAAAAAATTCGACAAGCTGACAATTAACATAGGTACTTCAATTTTGCAATCAGTCATTTTGACAGCTGATTTGGACAAGATTTGTGCTAACCTAACCTCTCTTTATCTTCCAGATGTCAGAATAATTGTCAATTAATTTTGTTACGAAAATTGAATTAAAAACCGCATAACTTGTGCCTATTATCTATTAATCAAAGAAAAAGTATAGTATTCTACTCGTGTGTAATGACTATTACTCACTCGGATGATTATACTACTCGCCTGCGGCTCGTAGTGCAAACTTCATCATTCGTGAGTAATAGCCATCATTATCCGCTCGTTGAATAATATACTATTATACAACTGGTAAATTTTTAGATTTAGGTAAGAAATAGAAAAAAAAATCATTTGGATCACTAGAAGAGTTGTCCTTTGGTTAAACTTCGCCATTCTTTGAAAGTATCAAGCCTTGTTAATGACCACATCTTAACCGCATTGTTATTATATCATGTAAGTTGGTTTGAAAAAATATTTCGTTTGATATGTGTAATATTCTGATCTACTCCAATGATTGAGAGTGAAAGTTATTTGAATAAGTAAATCTGGATAAGGTTTAAGTGCGAAGATTCAATACTGAATAGGTACAAATTTATTTAAATCAGATCCATGGTTACCTCTGTTAAAGTCGTTTCCTCCACTGACTCGCTCTCCTCTTCCTTTTTCGCAGTGCTAACGGCACCGCTTTGTGGAATCGAAACTTGCATGTTGGACATTTTGATATGACGTTTCTGATGAACTTTTTCTTCTTTAACAAGGGAAGGTTTGCGAGAAGCTGGCTGACTTATGGGTTCTCTAAAAAAAAAGTAATTTTGGTATTTTATTTTTTTAGGTTTTAAGTTTCGAATAATTGATATGATGGTACTGCAAGTTAGTAGTTTTCTTCAAATTTAGCTTAACAAAATCACAGGTCAAATTTCAATAAAGACTATACCTAATTATATACTTTTTTTAATCACTCACAAATAAAATCCACCCAACTGATTATTTGGCATCAGTTCAAGGTATCGTTCTAACCGAAAGTCATGAATTACATTTTAAGTTGACTTTTTATTGCAATGAAAGAAAATATATATTCGATTTTCTTGAAATAATTTAAAATACTAACAGAGACCTAATCCTTGTACAGGATGATCAGTTTTTAGACAAAAATGTTAGATAGAAAAGCTGTAAATCTATATTTGAGAAATAAATTCATCATCAAGTACTGCTTTTTCACCAGCACAATCTATTGTATTATGGAATTAGCCCGAATATTCTCGGTTGATTTATTATTGTGCTTCATTTGTCAAAAGCCCATGTTGACGTCTTGAGCTAACTGCTCTTGCTTTGGAAATATTAACATTCGAAAGTAGATAGCCTCACATTAAGTCAACTGTTTTATTTCAGTTTCAAAATGGTTCTGCACAATATAATTAAATATTGAAAATTAAGAGTCCATGTAGGTAGTATAAAATTGAATTGTTCACAACAAGCTATCCAATAGCTGTTTATTCTAAATCTACAATTGCACAAAGTGGAATTTTTGGCCACACTGCCAACACTTTCGAAAAAATGTATTACGACATTGTTTTTTGGAGCTTGACGGGGAATTGTTTTTTATTACCGAGTCATAAATTGCAAAAATACTGTGCTAATGGTGTATATAATTAATTGTATCTATTAAACAGAGGCGTATCAAGAATAAAATACTAACTACCTATATATACATAAATATTTTCCGTCGTTTTTAATCTGACACTTTCCGTATGAGGATCGAGGGGGTGAAGCTTTTGGCAAAAACAGGTGTGACGTCAGGTAACCATTGGTGTTCTAATGTAGGGAGCTACCAGCTCACATTCCTTTGGAGCATCAGATTAAAATCGACAGACAGTACATGATCTCCCAAACTTGGGACACCCCTGTATATACATAAATGAGCATTAAAACTAGACATATCGAAGGAAATATCCACAAAAACTAACGTGATTAAATTAAATTATTATTCTACAAGGGTGTTAAAAAAAGAAGTTTCTTCAAACAAGTCGCTTTTTTTTTTTAAATTTATTGGCACATCTTAGGGCATGTTATTATTCTCAATTAAACACTCTTTTGATCTATTAATCATTTTTGCATTTATGACCAATTTTTTGATCAAAAGATTAGGGTACTTATTAATCGATTAAATACAGGGTGTTTCAGAAATGATGTTACAAACTTCAAGGGCAGATAGTATTCATGAAAATAATTAAAAAAGTGCTTATGGATATAGGTCAGGAAACGCTTTGTTTCCAAGATACAGGGTGATATGTTTTTCGAAAAAAAACAAGTTTTTTATTAATAGTCCAAAAGAGCCTTGGCCGATTTCAATGAAATTTTCACGGTTTATTTTAACCATTATCAGACATCTACTGGACCAATTAGATTTGATCCAGAATTCCCAGGGGCGTAGCCAGCGACCAAGTCGGTTGTTTTTGTGCAGAAAAAAATATCACTCTGTAGTTTTTGTACGATTTTTATTTATTATTCAGATAGACACACTAAAAATACAACATTTTTGTCTCTTAAATTTTTCAATTATCTCGCTTCGTTTTCGCGGAAAAATTACAATACCATACCTCAGCACGTCTCTGGACTCCATAAGGAAAGATAAAAATTCATAGGAATTAAGGTACATCACTCATTCATTGAGAGACAAGGACATAAATTCCATTTGTGGTTATTTTTTGTTTTGTTTTCATAAATCAACAAACTCCGAAAAATATTTAATCAATTCTTAAGCATTTTTATTTTTTCTTATGGAGTTCAGAGACATGCCGAGGTATGGTATTGTAATTTTTCCGTGAAAACGAAGCGAGATAATTGAAAAATTTAGGAGACAAAAATGTTGTATTTTTAGTGTGTCTATCTGAATAATCAATAAAAATCGTACAAAAACTACAGAGGTATATTTTTTTCTGCACTAAAACAACCGACTTGGTCGCTGGGTACGCCCCTGGGAATTCTGGATCAAGTATAATTGGTCCAGTAGATGTCTACTAATGGTTGAAATAAACCGTGAATATTTCATTGGGCTATTAATAAAAAAATATATTTTTTTGAAAAACGTATCACCCTGTATCTTGGAAACAAAGCGTTTCCGGACCTATATCCATAGGAACTTTTTTAATTATTTTCATGAATACTATCTGTCCTAGAAGTTTGTAACAACATTTCTGAAACACCCTGTATAGGTACACGGCACTGGAATCATTTCCTCTGACGTCTCACAACCCGTGCAGCTCTATGTGAGGAATAAGTCACTGCCAGTAATTTTGATCAGAGGCTATGGAGTGTGCCCAAGATGAGGATGCGATAGCATTAGGATCTGGGGAACGGTTGTAATTACAATGTTGGTTTAATTAGGAAAAAGTAGAGCAATTTGACAGGTCCGTGAAGTTGGCCCCTAAAGTGTTAATTTTTTTTTCTGAAAATATCTTTTTTGTTAGTGCTTCGTTAGTGCTTCTTAGTGCTTCAATTGTTTTCGTTAGTGCTTTTTCCGTTTTCTGTATATCAATTTTTTTGTAATTTTAAGGTCATCCCTGAAAATCTGTCAAAATGGAGAAAATTTATAACTATGTTAGTGCTTTTTAGTGCTTCAAACAGTTGCATTCAAGAATATTTCCTTTCTGAGATATTGAACTTTCCATTTTCAATGTCAGTTCTCAAATCATATCGGATTGAGTTAAATCTAAGAGTCGTCTACTCGTATATTATTACTTGTTTGTTGACACCAATACACTATAAAATTGAGGCAAATTGAGATGGAGAATGTGACGGTACCAATCTCTACTTATCTTGTTGACGACTTATGTAAATCTTTCCTTGTCTAAGAGATATTATATTTGAGGTTAGGAACATACCAAATTCAACAGCAATGATTACCAGCATCTTCTACTATTCTAGATGCTTTTAGCAGGACACTTTTGCAACTAAATTACTATAAAAGAGAGAGATAGAGAGTGCCCCTCATAGCTTTTCTCCCAAAGTATAAACCAATGTTTGCTCCTTCAGTGACAGTAGCGTCCCTGTGCTTTCTGTACATTTGGAATAAGTTTGAGTTTCTGTGCTTTGGGTGCCAATTTTAAATAAAAAAATACTAAACAATCAGAATACGGAAAGGGCATTAGGAAAACTATCTAAAGCACTATAAAGCAAAAAAACGACCTAGATTCAACTTAATCCCATATGATTTGAGGGCTGACCTTGAAAATTTAAAGTTGAATATCTCAAAAAGGAAATATTCTTGGATGCAACTCTTTGAAGCTCTAAAAAGCACTAAAAACTGACACCAAAATTGAGTAATTCGGAAAATTTTTGGGGGCTGACCTTGAAGTTAAAATTTAAAATATTTAAGAAATTAGAGAAGCACTTCCGAAACAATTTGAAGCACCAAGAAGCACCAACAAAGCACTAAAACATAGTAACAAATTTCGTTCATTTTGACAGATTGTCAGGGCTGACCTTGAAATCACAAAAAAATCAATATACAGAAAACAGAAAAAGCATTAACGAAAACAATTGAGGCTCTAAGAAGCACTAAAGAAGCACTAACAAAAAAAAATATTTTCCCAAAAAAAATTAACACTTTAGGGGCCAACTTCACGCACCTCAATTTGACTATCTTCTACATAAACTTTGTAGGATTGAGCTTTCTTTTTCCGATTTCGATTTTTTTTGAAAATAGTATATTACATACCCAGGTGGGTGTTTCTATAATCTTGAGACAGGAATGAAACTTCCTACCGAGGTTTGCATACTATTTTATTTACAACAATTATTACAACTATCACAATTTTAACTGAATACTAAATAAAAATTAAAAGGTATTTGTTTTACTAGGCAAAAAAGTACAAGATTTAATGCCGCGGCTGGTGTTTCATAGCCGAGGCATTGAATCTGCTTTTCTGCCATGTAAAACATATAATTTTTTCTCCGAATGGTCAAATTCACACATGGACATCTTTTTTATATTTATTTCGTTCATTATTATTATCCAAATAATTAAATTATTTTGACAATTGTCATTGTCACCATCAATTTCAAATACCAAATTGAGTGAAATTATTACCTGGAACGTTGTGACACTGTCACTTTTAATGCCTAGGCAGTAAAAGTCCACTTTTACTGCCTAGGCAGTAAAAATACAACTTTTGATCCTGTCAAGTGTCATTAAAAGGTCGCTTTTACTGTCATTAGGAGAAAAAAAATTTTGTTGACAAGTTCTGACTTACCTATCTAAAGAAACGTTTGACATGCAGGACTTGTCTTTAACATTTTAGGAAATGAGGGCTCACTTTCCACCCGGGAGGAAAGTAAAATTTAAAAAAGTGTCACTTTCAAACATTTGAAAAGTCAGAAATGTCAACATTACATATGTGGTTGTAAATAATTAGTATATTAATTACATACCGAGTAGGGAAGTGTTTCATTACTGTCGAGAGATTTATACAGGGTGTTCCTAAATATCATGTACAAACGAAAGGGCGTGATTCTTTGGTTAATTTTATGACTAAAATTTCTAATAAACATAGGTCCGCAAACGCTTCGTTACCAATCTACAAGGTGTTGAAATTTTAATTTTTGTTTTAGTTTTTTCTTTATGGCTCTTGCAATTTTTGAGGAATTTAGCTCAAATTTGAAATATAGGCTACTCAATAGAAGCTGAATAATTGCACGTATCGAACGTTTGCCAAAATCTACAGGGTGATGTTTTTTCAGGGGTGATGCCCCCTTTTCTGCACCTGAACTTTTTCACGGTGCGCCGCTGGTCAATT